ACAATCTCTCCAAACCTTTCCCTCACAGCTTTGTCGTATACCGAATTAAGATGTGAGTACCGTCTCTCGAAACCTTTCTCTCATGGCTTTGTTGCATACCAGATTGGGATGTGAGTATCGTCTCTCCAAACTTTCTCCTCACAACTTTGTTGTATACCGAATTGGGATGTGAGTACCGTCTCTCCAGACCTTTCCCTCACGGCTTTGTCGTATATCGGATTGGGATGAGTACCGTATCTCCAAACCTTTTTTGTATTTTGAGGAAACTGTCGGTGCCTTTATTGGTTTGCTTAAATTATGGTAGATATTGCCCCAATGATGTCGGGCAGGAGGTGTATCATGATGCCTCTAGTTTGGGCTGCTTTTGTCTTTTGTTTAGATGCTGTCAATTGGAATTTGTGTTTCCTTTTTGGCTTTTCTTGTTGGGATGCAAAAATGTTGAATGCTTATTTATTCAGGATTTATCTATTTATTTTTTGAATAATCCCCCTTGGATAAAGAAAACTTTCTAAGTGTGTGAAATGTTGTTGGATGAGCGCAATGCATGTGTTTGATTTTAGTGTTTTAGAATGTGGCTTTCCTTTTCTCTTTCTCACGAATAAACTACTCTATTTGATGCACAACATTTAGTTGTGTTGGCCATTTGATGTATTGAACCATCTTGGGGCTCTCTCTTTTCTTCTTTTCTTGTTTAAAAACCCTAATTTTTGCCTAGGATGTATCTTAGCGAGTAATTTTTCTCTTTGCTTTTGCCCTAATTTTTGCCTAGGATGCCCTTTGCAGGTTTTCATCCCAGCGGGTCATTTCCATTTTTCTCTTTCCCCTTTTGTTTTTGGACATTTTCAAATTTTGACAACCATCAACAATATACGTCATTAGGATGGGACAAGATAGAAAGGAAAGAAAGGATGATTTAGAATGAATGAGTGGTGGAGGTAGGTCAGTGTTTAAGTTTTCAAACAAACATTTCCTTGGATAATTGTTATAATCATTTTTCTAATTGTCTTGGACTACATGTTTGAGTCTCGGGCAGAGTCTTTGTAGAATTTGGCCTCTTGTAAAAGTGTTTAAGCCGCCTTTTGGCCTTCAATTATGAGAATCATCACTTTCTATTTTTATCCCTTTTAGATCCCTAATTTTTTCCTAGGATGTGTCCTAGCGGGAACTTTTAATCTTTTTTTTTTCCTATGACCCCCTTTTGCGGGTTTTCATCCTAGCAGCATTTTGCAAGCGATGTTTTTCAAACATAACACTTCTTTACTTTGACAAAACCTCTTGCCATCTGCGTTTAGGAGGACCAGTGTCTTTGATGATTGACACTGCCCCCGTCCCATACACCAAGGAGAAAGATGTTGCCCTGGTCTACGGGTGTTGAGATTTCTTTCATGGACTCAGATTTATGCTTCCTTTATCAGCCAAATTGGGTTGAGGTTTTTTTCAAGTCTCTTCTTATGCAATAAGAATCTTATGTAAGATTCTTCTGATGACTTTCTTATCTTTGTGTGTTTCGAGGAAGTGATCTCCTTTTCTACCTTAGACACAAATAATGTGTCGTAGATGTTCGAAGCTTTGATTAATTTTATTATCTTCAATCATGTCTATTTTTTTGTTTTTGCCTTTTTTTGTCTTTTTTTTTGGTTTTGGGCACTATGATTGGTTTTAGATTTTAGTGATAAAAAGGAGAAGGGAATGAAACAAAGATTTGTAGAAATGACGTATTTTATTGACGAATGTAAAAACTTATACAAGCCCTTATTTTGTTTGAACTCATGACAGTGGGCGAAGGTCATGAGTTGAGCATGAATTTAAAACAATTTATTTTTTCTTTTTTTTTAAAAAAAAAAAGAGAGCCCACTACTCTAGTAATTCTCAAATTTATACTCCAAGGTCACTCCTCATCATGCTTGTGCAATGGGTGCTTGTCGATGCTAGGTGTGTTGGTGTCAAATTTCAACCACCCAGCGTCTATAAGTCCTTGCACACGGAATTGTAGGGCCTTGCATCGCTCCACAGAGGGCCCCGCAGAGTTAGAGTGATAGTCGCACCTTTCCTCGGGTTGGTACCATGGTGGGTAAGAGGGGTCCATCTTTTTCGTTGGAGGAATTCGAACTATCATCGAAGCCTCTAGGAGTTGGGGTAGTATTTCTGCATATGTAATGGGGATTTTGTCTACTACCCTGTCATCTCTAGGCTTTGCCTGTGGTGCGACTCGACTCTTTGGAGCAAAGATGACAACATGAACCCCTTCTTCCCTCTTCTTTTCGTAGGTTTTCCTGCGGTCGCAACTCGTCGGAGCTTGCCCTATCTTCCCACTTTTTAATCCTTGCTCAACCCTCTCACCAATGGTGACTATGTCGGCAAATAGGGTTGAGGTGTTCCCTATCATCTTGTCATAATAGGGTCCACTTAAAGAGTTGATGAACATTGTCACCATTTCCTTGTCAGATATTGAAGGCTCTATTTGCACAGCCAATTCTCTCCATCTTTGTGCATAGGTTTTGAAGGACTCATCGCCCTTCTTGCTCAAGCTTTGTAAATCAGACCTATCAGGAATTAGGTCGATGTTATACTTGTATCGACAGAGAAAAGCGTCGGCTAACTGTTTCCATGTTTGGATCTTCCCTCCATCTGCATGTACCAGTTGAGATCAGCATCTGAAAAGCTTTCCTGAAAATAGTGTATCAAGAGCTTTTCATTGTCCACGTAGGCTGCCATCTTCCTACAATACATTGTTAGATGTCCTTTTGGACAACTGGTTCCAATGTACATTTGGAAGTCAGGGATTTTGAACTTGGCGGGAAATTGGATGTCCTGCACCAAACACATATCCGTAGCCTCTTAAATGTCAAAATTGTGGCCTTCCACAGCTCTTAGTCTTTCTTCCAAGGCGTTCAAATGATCTTTGGAAACGTCACCGACGTTGCTAGCACTATTATCTTGCTGCAATTTGTTCATGGCCTCAAGCATTCTAGCCATTTGTTCCTTGAGCTGTTCAAGCTCCTCATTGAGGACATGATTTCTTTCCTCTAGGCCTTCCACAACTTTTATCTTTTGAGTTCGTGTGAGTACGGAATGTTGAAAAGCCACCTTTAAGGGATAAGATAATTTCCTATCAAGCTTATTTAAATGGTAATGCATGAAGGGAGTTTCTATCAAAGACTTGATGGGTCATCCTTGTCAAGAGATGAGTTATCGGTGTTCCTCTTCATAATATTTTATGATGTGACAAAGGTCACACTGATTTCTCGTCTTTGATACAAATCTCCTTGTGATCCTAAATATATGGTATGCATGTTCCTTTTTTTTCTTCTTTTTATTGTCCTTTTATTTTCATGCGAATTTTATATAAAAATTTGCAGGAAAAGTGATTCTTATGAATTTTTTTGCGAAATTTTATCTCTAGGTAATATCTTTGTGGATAATATATTTTTGCGAACTTTAAAATTCGCAAGAAATTTTTTTGCAGAATTTCTTGTGAAAAAATTCGTAGAAAACTTTTCTGCGAATTTTTTCGCAAGAAATTTTGTAAAATTTTGTAATAAAAAAATTAAAGAAATTGTTGCAGAAAGTTTCTAGAAAATTTATAATTCAAAGTAATTTTTGTGTAATTTTTTTTCTAAATTTCTTACAAATTTAAAATTTACAAGAAATTATGTTATAATTGTGAGTATCAAATCATCATTAATTAGTTCTTCAATTATTATCTTTCAAAGACTCGCAATGAATTTATAATATGTTTTTCACACCTCCAACATGTGATTGACGACCTTTTATAATTTTAGAATGTAGGTTATAGGTCTAACTCAATCTACAAGATTAACTTGCAAGACAAGTGTTGTATCTAGTTATATACTTTTTAATTGTCTTATTTCTAATCAATATGGGACTTAAAATTTTCTTTAAAAAATAATTAGATCATGTTCTTAGAAATAAAATTGTTGCAATCATATTGAACTACAAAATTATATTATTATAAATTATATTAACTCTTAAAATATTCAATATTCTATGAAAAATAGTTTTTTATTAAATAAGTTTTTTAAAAAATTATCATTAAATTAAAACTCATTATCATTAATTTATATATTTAATTAAAATAAATATTAAATTAATTAATATTTTAAATTAAAATTAATTTTTATGAAATATTTGTAAACAATTTAGTAAAAATAATATTTTTTTCAAGTAAATACTTTTAATTTTAAAATTTTATGAATTATCAATAAATTAAAACTCATTATCATTGATTTATTATATTTACAAAATTTTATATATTTAGTTTAATTTAATTTAATATTAAAATTAATTATAATGATATATTTATAAATAATTTAGTAAAATAATATTTTCTAATTAAAACATTTAATTATTAAACTTATAAATTTAAATATTTTTTATTTTTCATGCGAATTAAAATTGGCAGAAAAATTCACAGGAAAATTACATGCGAAATCTTTCTATTATTTATGATAATACTGATAAATATTACCTGCAAATTTATTTTCACAAGAAAATCTGCAAGAATTTTCTACAAATATTTTTACCATGAAAAAAAAAACTATGACCATCAAAATTGTAGCAAAATTTGTAAAAATTTCTAATAGATTATTTTTCATAAAAAAATTTGTAAAAAACTTCTGCAAATTATTTTTTGCAAAAAATTTCTGTAGATTTATTATTACAAAAAAAAATTTGTAAAAAAACTCACAGAAAAATAACATTTTTATAATAGTGAGTAATGACACACCATTCGTTCTATTTTTTCTTTTTCTTTTTGTTAATACCATTCTTTCTATTATTCTAACATAAAACATAATACATTTTTATTAAAAGTTAAACCAACACTAATTTCAACTTATACCGAAGAACAAAACTCATATTTTACTCTCAGCTACCCCATACTGCAACTAAAGCATACATACATAGATTTTAAAAACTGTGCACTATTAAATAGACAAAGTTTTTGAACCGTAGTTAGGGTAGAGTAATATATAACTAACCAGTTTGCTGGTGAACCTTGGTTGCTTGAGCAGTGTTTGGTATAGACCTTCTCTGATGACTTGAGGATTGATGCTTGTCTTGCAACCCATGATCGCAATCACATAACAGTTTAAAGATGGCTCATGAAATAGCTTCGCTGTGGGACTCAGTGGTTCACCCTCTCTTGATGCCATATTTGTTCCCTTTCAGTCGCCACAGATTTTATTCCTGCGAGCAGTGTATATATTCAAGGTGCAAAAACTGTTGTATTGTTAGAACCCTCAAGCCCAATGTGTGGAACAGGTAATAAGGTGGATTATAAAGGTGATCAAAATGCCATAATTTATTTCATCAACTTCTTTAAATTTTGGCAATATTATATTTTCTTTTATCAGTCTTTTAATATTTTGTAAATAAATAAAAGTAGATATTTTAATATTTCAAAAACGTTAAAGTATTTACGAATTTTACCTAATAAATAATTGTGGAGTCTATGCAAAGTTTTTTAATTTTTTTTATTATATACTCTTCATTTAGGAATTGTAAGCTTTATCTTGAAACAAAGAAGAAAGATTGACCTGCTACTCTTATGATCAATTTTTACAATGTTAAAATGATTTTTTTTTCTAAGAAAACATGGCTTATAAGTATAAATTAATTTTTAATTAATTATCAGTTTTGAAATATTATATAAATCATGTATAGTATAAATAAAAGAATTATCCATATTTAGCAAGAAAAAGAATTTAGATTAGATAAGAAAATTAAGAAGAGTTTGTAGAATTTAAAATTGTTCTTAAATTTTGTCTACCGGAGGCTGCCTAAGAAACGGTTGGGTATGCTTTAATTCCAACCTAGTGGCTCTGTTCTTCCATATATGGCTCTATGAGTGTGAAAAGGAAAAGTTATTCAAAACAAATCCACAAATAAACGATGCAGCTGAAAAGACTTGATTATGATTTGGCTGCGATTAATGCAGAGAAGATTAGAGAAAGAAATCAACGGTGAGAAAGGAGCTAGAACTTACAATTAAATGCAACCACCACCAGCCTTCAGCACAAGTCAGGCTCAGGAAAAAACGGATGAAACCAAATCATTACTCCAACTCAAATAGACCCTCAAATTCAACTACACATTTCATCAAAAACCTTACATGCACAAGTTCAAAATCACTGAATCACCAAGCTTAATTGCATAAAGTGAAATTCACATGGGTCTCTCTTTCTGCTTTGTTAAATCTGAGAGGAGACCAAAGATTGTTGACCAAATCCCACAAACGATTTCAGATTTCATTATTTTATAACACGGACCAATCATGCTTCTCTAACTTGATGCTGGGCATGTGCTAGACGAGACCGATTCAAGAAAAACATAATAATATATTTGCCGATACCACCTCTCTCCTTTTATTATTTGTTTATTTTGTTTCAGCGGAGGTATATCCATGAATAAATGACAAAATATGTTGTGTAATACCGTATGAAGTAAGTTAGCACTATTATTTGATTTCAAGTTATCTTTTATAATAAATTATTAAATTTTATAGGGACGGATTTATTGGTAAGAGACTGAGACAGTTGTCTTCACTAATTTTTTTTATCACTTATAAATATATTTATAATTAAAAATTATAAATAATTTAAAATGTGGTTAAAAAATAATTTATGTTATAAATTATTTTAATTCAATTATTTTCATTCTTCTAATTAAATATTTTAATTATTATTTCTCTATTTTTAATATGATTTTTACACATTATTCTTGCAACCAAAAATTTTCTCTCTCAATTATGTAAACTTATATTTTCTTTTTTATCTTTACATAAATATTTTTTTAATTGTCTAACCTTTTGGTTTACTATATTTTAATTAAAAATTTAGTTTACATATTTAAACATGTTTATTTATTATAAATTTTAATTATATTATAATTTAAATATTAAAAATATTTGTTAAATTTTAATTAGATAAAAATAAATTTTATCATATATAATATATAACTAAAATACTAATTTATATATATAATTAAATAATATTTTCACTATCTAAAAATTTTGGATTAGTTAATGTACGACAACAATACTTAATTAGTTAATAGTGTAAAATTGTTTTACACAATACAATACATGAACATTAAACTCTAGGTATCTTCTTTCGAAATCAAGTTATTATTTAGATATTATTATCTTTGATTCTAAAACTCTAGGTATCTCCTTACAAAATCAAGTTATTAATTAGATATCATTATCTTTAGTTCTAAATTATAAACAAATCATCAATACTAAAAAAAATAATTAAGTTGGTTGATTTTAATTAATTCTGTCATAAATTTAAATTTTATTTCAAAAATACTTTATGTTTAAATGGTTGTTATATTTAATATTAGTTATAAATGAATGTATAGAGAATAGAGTTAACAATTAATTAAGGCATAAAAGATATTTATCCTTGAGTAATTTTAAAAACTAATAATTGTTGTTTATAATTAGAAGCACAAAAAAATTTAATTTGTTGCTTATAATAAGGATTAGTGGTATTAGGAGAAGATATAATATGTTATGGGATAATTGATAAAAGGAAAAATTTTAAGTACAATTCTTTAGGTGTGATTGACATTATTTTTCAATCAGAATTGGAGTGTATCTCAATAATAAATATATATTGATGTGACATGCATTAAATGGAAGTATATATTATTGAGATAAAATTTTAACTCTAATTGAAAACAACACTAACTATGCTCAAATTAGAGTTTTGCATTAATAATATGCATAAAGATGTTAGTTTTTGTTAGAAGTATGAGACTTCATTTTTCTCATGTTTATAGGGAGGGAAATGGTTGTGTTGATAACTTAGCGAAGTTTGGTCTTAGACACCTGAATCTTATTGGTGAACTTCTATTCCCTCTTCTATAGTATCACTACAAAAAAAAAAAATGTGATTTGTGGGGGTTATTTTGGCTATTTTTGGTGGTTAAAAACCGCCACAAATCATATTACCAGCGTCATTAATAATCGTCAGATACACAGTCGTCAAAAACGGTTTGTGGCGCATATTTTGTAAAGCTGGTTTCGGGTGTCAGAAAATTCAATCACTTTGTGGTGGTTTTAAAGCGCTATAAAATGCATTTTAATGTTACTTGTTTTAGAGTTTCTGATGGTTTAAAATCACCACAAAATTTATCTAAATTTTTCTTGATTTAACATTTCTGATGGTTTTGAACCGACACAAAATTGCATTTTATTTTTATTTTTCTCACATTATCTTTTAAATTGTCAACTAATTTTTATTATTTTAAAAAAATAGATTAAAAATTATTTTAAAAACATGTTCATATTATAAATTGAGAAATAATAATCTATATATTTTATGTATTTATCAAATTATTGTTTAAAATTATCATTAATTATATTAATTATTGAAATTTAATAATGACTATATTATATTGTACTATTACAAGATGTAATCACCTTAGAACAAAAGTAGCAAGAACTGCTGCAACTATATCATGAACTCAGGAATTTGGGAAAGACATAGCAAGTGAAACAAGAAGAAATCAAGATCAAAATAATAATGACTTCTTTTTTAATGAATAAAAAAAAATCCCACTAAGTAATAGGCATGCACAGTTCATGCCACGACCCACAAGTGCCTAGAACTTGGAATAAATTTAGAAGTGCTTACAAGTATTCCACCAGGAGCAACCAATCTTGAAACAGAATTCCAATACATCATTTTGAAATCAAGAAAACAAAAGCATAATTTCTCAGTACCATGCAAGCAAACTATTAAATGGAAAACAAATCAGTAAGCAATAAAGTAATATATATAAGGGTAGACACCCAATTTTGTCCGGACCAACAAAAGCTATGAAATGGACGTCTATCATCAAAGAAATAGAGCTCCCAAGCATGAAAATAACAGGACAAGACATCAAGAGGCCTAAAAGCCCAAACAAGCTGGTTTTAGTAGCTTGGAACGGGCTGTTGCAAAACCGGAACGGGTCGTTCCCAATTTGGAACGGGCTGTTCCAAGTTCCTAAAAGGGCCTAAAACCCTAGTTTGAAACGGGCCGTTCCTAGACTGGAACGGGTCGTTCCTAGACTAGAACGGGCCGTTCCAAAATTGAAACGGGCCATTCCAAGCTCCTACAAAAGGGGTTAAAACCTTAACTGGAACGGCCCGTTCCAAAAACTGGAACGGGCCGTTCCAAGTTATTAAAAAGGCCTAAAAACCCTTGTTTGGAACGATTGTTCTAGTCTTTTTAATTATGTGCTAATCTCATCTCTGGAACGGGTCGTTCTAAATTCAGAATGGGTTGTTCCGGTTAAAAAATTAACACAGAACGATTGGATCCAGAAAGGGCCGTTCTGATTTTGGAACGGGCTGTTCTAGCACCCTTCTGATGCCTATAAATAGACAGCTTGGGCACAGTTCTTAGGGGCCTCAAAAATTTTGTCCAAGGCTCCTTAGAGCTCAAAATTTCTCTTTCTCTCTCTCTCCTATTGTATTTCTTGAGTTTTGTGAGGCATATTGTAGTGTAAAAGGTTGCCGCAAAGCACGTAAAATCTCCATAGTTGAAGATCTAATAAAGCTTACTACGAGGTATTACTCATCAATATCTTATTCTATCTTTCTCTTCTTTTATTTCATATATTGCTATAATAAACGCAATTATGTAGATATCTTAGGGTTCATTGTGTAATTTAATTTTCATGCAAATAATCATTAATAAAGGTGATTAAATATTTAAATTATTAATTCTTATTACATTATCTTCATCATAGGGTACCAATTTAGGCGTTGTAGGAGTGCTTAATACCTCCCCTACATGTAACCAACCCCCGAACCTAATTTTGGTTATCAAGGCCATTATTAGACTTTTAAAAACCTTTTCTTTTTACAATGTTTTGAGTAAAACATTGGTGGCAACTCCATGAACCTATTTTCAAAATCATTAATCAATGATTAGTCTGATGTCCGAGCATTCCTTAATTGATGAGATTTTCAAAAGGATGTATAAACCATAGGTCGCAAGATCAGAAATTTTCGAGTTTCGACAGATGGTGACTCCACTAGGGATGTTTTAGGAGGGTCAGACCGATATAAATGATGAAGTTAATAAAATAAGAATTATAATTTAAATATTTTTCCCCTTTACTTTGTTTGTTTTATTTGTTTGGCTTTAATATCTGTTTGCCTGTTTATATTCTGCATTTGTTTGAATAAAAATTGTACAGAAACCTTTGTACACAACAGTTCACCCTACACCTAGGGGCATGACGATATTAAACATAGGGAGTGGTTGACATACGACCGGCCTAAGTTTGGCCTTGGAGCCTTGTCAAAAATCACACTCAAGGTGATAACCGGTTACTCTAGCCTGATATACTATGACAGACCTTAGAATTTTCCAGGTGACGGTGATAGAGATACTGGGTCCCTATAATAGGGGCACCTCGGGGGCCTTAAGACCAGTGAGATTAGAACTATCCTATACAACGTACTTTTCTTAACAGGGACCACAGACCAAGGATTTGAACGTGACTGTTCGTGGGTTAGTTTGTATGAGCATATGTTTGTTGCCTTTTGTTTATTCAAACCATTCATTTATTTTTTATAATTCCCCCAAGGTAAAGAAAAACATAAAATTAAAATACATTATCATGAGGGAAAACCTAGTGCGAAAATAAGATCTGTGAGAAGCATACATGCCTTCTTTAAAAAAAGGGGCATCATGCATTTTCCAAAAAAAAAAACAAAAAAAAACAAAAAAACAAAATAAAAAGAGAGATTAAAAAGGAGGGACATGCATACCATATACATTCCTAGGATCACTAGGAGATTTCTCACAAAGACTAATGAACTCCAATTAGTGTGTGACCTTTGTCACATCGTAAAAATTTACGAAAAGAGACACCATGATTTCACGTTTAAAGGAGTGGTTACAAAGTCTTTGTTGAGAGACCTCCTTCATGCATCATCATTTAAATAAGCTTAATAGGAAATTATCTTATCCCTCAAAGGTGGCTTTTCAACACTCCATACTCACGAATTCTTAGGGTGGAAGAGTCATGGAAGCTTTACAAGAAGGAATTTGTGTACTTTTTAAGGAGTTCATACAGCTCAAACAACAAATGGCTAAGATTTTTGAGACCATGACTAGAATGCAACAAGACATCGACGACATTAAAGGCTATCTAGGTGCCCTAGAGGAAAGATTGAGAACCATTGAGGTGTAGACACCCAATTTCGTTCGGGGGGCATACAAACAAAGAAATGGACGTCTATTATTAAGGAAAGGAACTCCCAAAGAAGGAAAACAACAAGACAAGACATTAGAGGGCCGAAAGCCCAAAACAACTAGTTTTAGTGGCACGAAACGGGCTATTCC